TTTTGGTAACTTTACATTGTTACAGCTACGCCGCATATTGTCAAATATATGTCTAAGGGTGACGGTAGCAGCAGTAGAGTTCGTCCAGGGAAGTACTGCCACCTACCTATTTCGGGCGCCAAGCAGTAATGTTAGCTGCGTTCCGGTTATGAACGGTGCTGGTGAAATTACAGGCACATGGGACTTGTCAACTTATGTCTCAGGGCGCAGTGGCAGTGCCCCTCTGTTCTTTGCGATTTAAAGGTCTGAGTGGCACTGCAACTGTTATGAACAGGCAGAGCTTACCTTCAGGCACACGACTCGTTTGTCCCGTCACTTGACATTATAAAAAAATTAAAAAACGCCGGGCGCAGTAGCAGATCTGGGGTACGTTTGCTTGCCTACTTCTGTAGGTGTCGCTTCTTCAGCTATATTGAAGCCTTGACCAAACATTAAATGTCAAAGCATTAGTAAATACTAGTATTACTCAATACTTATTGGTTAACGTTGTAATTAACGTATTTCGTTCACAGCGGGAGTTGCTCCCGTTTCGTTTGGCGATAAGTAATACTGCAGAGAACTATATATATGTACACTTGCATATTACTGTTTTGAATTCAATTTGTGAGTCAGGTAACAATTTGGTGTCCTTTATGTAGAGTTACGCACATTCCAAATGAAAGTTGTGTTTAAGTAAACAATATACATTCAACAATGTTCTAGCTTCCGCTTAAAGTTTAAATTCACGTGAACTTTATACGTACAAAAAAAAAGGTAGACTAGTTTTAGTAGTGAATAAATATGGCAATGACCTGTCTGATCTAACACTTCATTGCCTTAACGCTTCTCAATTGGCTACAGTGGACAAATTTCAACAACATTGTTTTTGATTTGGCTACATTTACAATCTAGGTCTTTTGTACTAGACTATTTGCTTTTAGAATGTGCGTGGAAAAATATATGTATGTTTGACAAATTTCATTTCAAATTTGTTGGTATTACCATTGGTAGTCCCTATCTACCGACCGAGAGACGGCAAGACCAGGGTACAGCGGGCGTCCGGACCAAGTTCTCCGACAGTAATACGCCTTTGCGAGCGTCTCTGGTGGACCCGGACTTGGGTATGGACACGCTGGGGTTTGTGGTTAGCTGCAGAGACGGACATGTTTGTCTGCCCCGGTAGGGTGCGGCCGGAGCGTCTGTCTCGTGTGCAGCTAGCGCGTCTTAGTAGCGGTCTAGTTGAGGGCCTGAAGCGACGAGACGCGCGAGCACATAAGTTGCCCTTTAAGTTGGACGTTACCGTCCAGACATTGTCGCAGGACACTGCAACTGGCATCTCCGGCACTAGACCGGAGAGCTAGTAGAGGATAAGCTAGATATCCTCCGGTCTCTCCAGCCGTTTAGGTTAATGGGAACTGGAGAGACGTCGTTATTCGGCGTCGTGAAGTGAGCGTGTCTTATAGCTCCGCCACCAATGAGGAGATTTGGTAGTGGACTCAGAGTCGACGGCTTAGAGGTGGCAACAGCTAGTTGTGCAATGCGCAACGGGAAGTGGGCGTGCCTACAGCTCCAGTACCTTTGGAAAATAAGGAGGGGACTGTACCTGCACCCGGGGCGGCTCACCCGTGGCACTAGCCTCTCGAAGAACCGGATGAAGTCAAGTGACAAAGGTCTGTGACAACCCTGTATACTGGCTGATCTGGGGTTAGAACCTGAACTTATAAGGTTCGTGTGCGCGTACAGGTTCTAGTGCCCATCTCGTATAACCTCAGGGTCGGTAGGGAGGCTCACTATAATCAAAACTAATGTAGAAAGCTGTTGGTATTACCATATATTGTGTTTTCCAGTCAACGGGAATTTCGAAATCAGTTACTTCGGGATTATTTACGACATTCTCACCAAAGTGGTTGAGATAGTGAAACACGTACAATATTCTTCTTGCATATTAATGTATAAAAATAAATGCTAAATGTTAGGTAAAATATACACATTCACACACAAACGCAAACGTGCACATACACACAATATTCGTATATAGTTACACTTTGTTTGGAATATTCTCAACCTACGCGTGTGTATGTGTTATATATAAATAACATGTAGATATTTAATATTGGACTATGAGTTACCTATTGCACAGTGAAAACTATTTTTAAAATGGGCTAAGGTGATTCTGCATTCAGGTATGTAAAAACACACAAAGAAAATGTTTCTTCTCTGTAGAGTTATAATTTAAACCAGGTAAACATTTCAATATTGGTTTAAATCTATTTTATTAAAGTTTAGTGTAGTAGTTCAATGTTTTCTAATATCCTCCTAAAACCCAGCAAAGGCAATGGGAAAAGCGCTAAACCAATGTACATTCATATGTACCAAATATAATTACGTGCTACAGGCCCAACCACGTAAGGCCTCAGTTGTTTTCTAAATACTCTAAACTAGTGACCATTATCATTTCTCTTCAGAGCGGGACACCTGTCAAATTATTATTGTTTTAAAAATAAAACACGTTTATGATAGTCACGGAATGTTTATTGATTACAAAAATTACTAAAAATGTTTAACGATCAAACAATTTAAAAAGAACTAAGCTTGTGTAGTCTGGTGAGTTGGTTTTGTACATATATTTTTTTTTATTTCGCGCCATTTTTTAAAATTAATGTCACGCGTGTCCTGTTTTTCGGGATATTGATATTGTTAAGTATCTTGGGGACAATGGGATACGAAACTAAATACGCGGGGCCGTCCTGATCAAAACGGGACGTATGGTCCATTACTCTAAAAGTCTAAACGCTAAATTCAAATGTGAGATTTTATAATGTACACTGAGGATTTACGTGATCATGACTATAACTCACAGAATAGGTCAATAAATAGCAAACAAAGTTGAATTTTCATTGCCGTAGAAAAGCAAATTTATGTGTCATAATTGCACATAGCGTAATAAACAAAATTAATAATCTCCATTGTGTGACGTTAAACTAAACACGATACGGTAGCTGCGAGAATTCCCGTAACTGCATGAGTATTCTCCAGAATAAACGCGACTTAATTTTTGGCTTGTATCTAGTTTGAATATTACTTAACTGACACAAAGTTAATTATGCAATGTATATCTGATGGGCAATGTATAAGTATCTTTAAAAAGATTCCGGTTGATATTCAAAACTTGCATTTCATGAGGTTGAAAACTAGAGTAAAACAAAAATGTTATACTAAAAGTATACAGCTTCTAAGTACTTGGATGACAAAAATCTGAAAGGTATTAACCCATTTAGATCTTGCAGGAAGTTTCGATCTATGATATCTGAAATAAATATTGTAAATGATAAATGAATACAAATGTTTATTTATAAAAAGCAACCTCTGGAGTTTCTTGCTCATTCTTCTCAGGGGAATCTGGCTTACGACTGAGTAGTAGGTTTAATCAAAATGACGGTTTAGAGTGTAATTTGCTAACATATGAAACAAAGATTATGTGAGTTTGTGATTGCTATGGATACAAAAATTCGTTCTTCTTCGTCCATTCCATGACAATGTAAATTGAGTTTAGGAAGATTTTGAATAGTGACAATTAGTTTACTAAATTTGACTTACAAGTTACCAGCAATAACAACACATGTTAATGTTATTAGCAAAACTATTAATAGTTTATGTTATAATTATTTTATAAACATAAAATTATATATAATAATCTGTTATAACATTTTACCTATCACTAAACACACATGTACCTACATAGTTGTTATTGTACATTCTTATCAGTTTTAAGTTAATATGGGTAACACTATTAATGTGCAAGTGTAATCAAATAATTGTAGATGTTAAATGTTCTAGATAGATAGTCTTCTGGTTATTATTAATCTCTTTAATGACGAAAGTTGTAATCTTATCCTTATGATTTTAAATGAAATTAATTGTTTTAAGAGTCAATGTACAACATTTCATATCTACAGTTTTTCATGTGCATACAAAAATTGTATAAAGTGTATAAATAGTCGACCGAAATGCTCCAGGAATATCACATTACCTACATTCTCAGTCTAACATTCTAATTTTTATGTTGAATAAATGACAACTGCACAATATGCGAAAAATCTTTATAGGTATATAGGTAATATGAACACGGATTTGTATTATTACCCATTTAAGAAAGGCATTTACTGTAAAATTGAATATCAAAATATGATAGTACCAAGTACCCTGGTTCGCTATATGGATCTTAGAAATGCAACTATGGGCTTTAAAATTACAGCTTCTCCAGAGAGAAGTATTAACTAGAAACTAATAAAATTCATTGATTTACATTGAACATTTTATACTGAATCAAATATGCATTACGACACAAACACAACTAGTGACGTTTTTGTGTGGGTTACTACTTAAGTGATCCATCAACTGGTTAATTATAATATAAGCTTTAAAATAGAAAATAAACCAGAACTTCTAATGACCAGTGTCAGCCCAAGATCATTAGGAATATGATTCTTAATAGGGACACTGATGTAATTTTAATTATTCATATTAAGTTATTAGTTATATCATCAATTAATATGTTAAGATTTGCATTCAAAATTAATTCATTTGCAAAATTGAGTTATTAACATATCTGGTCAGCAAAACGAGATCTACAACCCCCTCTAATAAACTTTGGTGTCAATACTTCAAAAGTTATCGAAATGCACATGCGTTAGTCATGACAAGGAGGGCAAAAAATGCTCAATTGCACAAATATCCCATTACTGTTTAAAACTTTAATGTTTCATTAATTAACAATACTCAAGTTTTTGCTTTAACAAAGTCTTCCAATTTCTTGTTCTTGGTGTGGTATAAAAAAATTATGATTAGATATTATTTTGTTTTACCCAGAGGTGTTCGTGAGCTTCTAAGAAGGAACTGGTTTGGTCACATTTGAAATGTGCACAGGTTTAAGTACAACCTTAATAATTACGATGTTTAACGAACACTATATGATGTTTTTTTCTGACTCTTATCCTTAAGAGTGTAATATGGGCACATACCTGTATGTGCTAGTCTTCTGCCCACAAGAGGGCTATCGAGCAGAAGGCGGCGCAGCGACCAGCGGCCCAGCACGCCTCCGCCCCAGCCGCACCCTCCGCCGCTGCCGCGCCGCATTCCCTCGCGTTCCACCATCACGCACCCTCACTCATCACACTCACTGCAGCTGAGGTCTCGCGGTTACGCGACACACCCGCACATTCACACGATTACCGTCTCACGGTCCACAGTCTACCGTTACCAAACATCCACTAAGCCACCCGGCCAGTCTTTGCACAACTCAGTTAGGCAATCTCGTAAAACATCAGCGAGAGAAAGTGCCGATGGCCAGATGAACGTACGTGATACGCGATGCAGATGCAGTCTCTAGGAGGGGAAGAATCGTTGTTATTGAACTCCCATTGTGCTGAGAGAGCGAAAACGTAACGCACTCAACTACTTACTACCAAATAGAAATAACGCGATAGCGGTTAACTCCACGAACTTAATACATATGTTACTGTAATTAAACATACAGAAACTGACTGCGATCAAGATGGCAATGCCATTATTTTAAAATAAATGCACAAAATCGACAGCGACTACGTTATGATGAGCAGCCACAACTGTCACAAAAATTACTACTTACGGCAGTGGTACCAAAGGCTTATATGTTATCGTTACTATCACTGGGTAGTCTATCTCTGTCACTCAATTTGAAATAGAAAGAGATCAGAAATACAAGTTTATTCAACTTTTTAGTCGAAAATATAGTGAAAATGTATAGTAACACTTTTAGTATTGCCAATATATATTTTTTAATGTGGTAATAATTGTGTGTCTCAAAACGTTCCATTACACGCAAAAAATTAAATCAGCTGTCCATGTTACCAGTTAGCTGAACTAGATGGCAGCACATTACTAATATTTTATTGGTATAGAAAGTGCCATTCTATTCCAAATTGCCAATCAACGACTACTTCCGGTATAATATTGCGCCATCTGTAAATTTCATTGTGTTCTAGTGTTTTGCCATGTTCATGTCATGTTTGTCAGCTACCGGTATGACATTGTTGTTGACAAAGACTGACGTTTCTTTTAGTACGTAAGTCATTTTTCATTGTTTGAAAACTATTGCCGATCAATTAATTAAGTTGATTTGAATAAGGATTTTCTCCTAACTTATAATTTCCAGTAAATTTGAAGCACTATCTAATCCAACAAATAAATATTACGGTGATTTATCTAGCAAGATGAAATTGCCACAAACGATTCCTCTGAGTTTGATCTTTGTTTCGTTGATAAGCATAGTATTAAGTGAAAATAAGTATTCCCGTAGTGCTAATGAGAAGAAACCAAACGATCAAATACCTGATGTTAACTTCCGGACTTTAGAAAAACCGTTTAGGATGAATAAACTCAACATTTTGTGGATGAAAGCTCAACAGGTAAAATTTGTATATAAATCTTGTTTTATTCTATTTTAGATATTATTTAGTAACATATAAAACGAAGGCTACGAAGTGTGGTATAATTTCCATAAATTTACATTTAGGGTTCACATAACAAAGTAAAGAGATGAGGTGCAAGAGTTTAGTTATTGATAATGAGTTTGTATTCTTTTAATGAAGAATAGTATTTTTTATTGTATAATACTTTTATTAGGTTTTCCGTTTACTCTTAAGTTGCCTGGGCAAGTACCACTGTTTTATTTGGCATCTGCAACTCGCAGTTGTAGCACCTATTTTACATGTCATCTTGCCACTTGAACTTTTCCAGGAATCTTAGGAACCGCTTGGATTTGCTGAAAATTTCAGGGAGTTGCTTCGATGTGTTGATAAAAATGTCACTCTGTATTTGGCCACACTGGAACATTGTTGAAGGGTGTGCTGTTTTCCCCTCTGCCACGCATGCTGTGTATAAAGAGCTGCTTATGCAATTTTTTTTGATGAAGCTACTGAGATCCTATTTCCCATTATGGACAATACATTTGCGATATTAATAGTTTATAATAGAGGTTTACGTAACTTCCATAAGGCAAGATATTTCTATGCGAGTCTAGGTTTTAGGAGGTAAGGTGTGGGGGTGGTCTCTCGCGTCTCGCAATTTACGCGCTGTAAATTAATATGAATAAAATAGGAACAGGTGAAGAAAATTTGACACAGATCCAATGTCGAAAAGCGCCTGATAGCGCCTGACACAGGCAACGGTACACCACTGGGCAATTTGCAAATTTTGGGATAAATGTGAATTTAATAACTGATAGGGCTTCAGTTGAAAGCCAAAATTTAGGAAGTTCTCTGTGCTACATACATAAAGTGAAATATCTCCATATAACAAATTATCTATAAATTTAGGTATTTTATTCTTAAATGGTTAATTTTAGACTATTATTTTAGCCTGTTCCACAGGATTTTATACGATCAGATAAAGTATATCCTATCAAATAACCCATTAGACAGTGTTTCCCCAACATTGTTCTGCCATGGCCCAGTAATTTTCATACTGCTTCCTGTCCCACTCAATACTTTTAAACCCAAGCTGATTACAATAAGTAAATTAATGCACATTTATTGCTAGTAAAAATGTTTTACTAATATTATTTCGGTATCATCTATTTAGTGCGAAGTATGGAGCTGCTGCTTATTTTTTTACAAAAGAATCCAAGTTCGCGGAAAATGACAAAAGTTTTATCCCGATGTCTGGTTCCACTTCAACAAGGCGGGAATGTTGCGACCCGATATTTTATCTTGATGGTCCGGTCGGTACCGGTCGTGACACACCAAATTGGAAACGCTTTATTAGCACATTCTTTAGACAATATCCTTAGGCATATCGTATGTTTTTTGTAAGAACGTTGTTTAAGTAATAATATCTAAACCATTTGATCTGATGCCCAAAACAGTTTTTCCCTCTGTCGTCTGGTGACTCCCCTTAACAGTAATGTTATTATGTAATAGACCACTATACTATACTATACAATAGATGTCTACTTTCCTGCAAATGGATTGTCTGACTGTTTATTTCTAATTAGTAAAACAAAGTAAACTTAAGTAAGGTTTGTAAAAAGTATATTAAACTAGTAGAATTTAAAACATGAACTTTTTTGTACACTGTGATAGTGTTTATCTAGTACAAAATTGACGTTATGCTGAAATTTTTTTTCTATATTATATTTTTATGGTCTGTCTGTTTGCTAGTTCAGTTTTTTCCATATTTCTTTTTCTCTAGTTTATTGTTCAATTATTGCAGCGTCTCACAGAGCCTAAGCTGAAATCCCTCTACAGTGAACTCATGATCCTAGATAAGGAAGAATTACTTCACAAACGAATGAAGAGTGAAGGTGGTGACAAAGATGGAATGAAAGAAGCAATTCTGAGGAGGAAGCTGACAAGTATTATGACCATGTATGGATTGAGAGAACATTTTGAAGATTCACCTACCAGACAGAAGGAACATGATGTAAGAAAAAATATTAATGTAAAATATTATATAATTAATAATAATAATAGTAATAATGCACACACTCAACATAGCCCCACAATAGGGAAACCCTGTGTCGCGGGTGCCATGGACACGCACATAGACAACCACAAATTACACCCAAACCTACGAGAGAAATTAGGCCATACAAATATTTCTCCCGGTCCGGGAATCGAACCTGGGACTTCGGCGTGGCAGTCAGGCATGCTAACCGTTCGACCACCGAAGAGTTTTTAAGCCAGCAACAAAAGTAATCTTGTAGAGTTATTTGGTTTATTACAAGTATTACACATACTATATAACTTTATTGCAAAAGATACAAAAATAAACCTTTCACAAGCACTTGTAGAGTTCCTAGTGAGAGACTTCATATTACTGCCTACTTCTGCCGCCCAGTAACAATGTGAGCATTACTTAGTTCCGGTTTTGAAGGGTAAGGGTGCTGGTGAAATTACAATCACACGGGACTTAACTTATTATGTCTCAGGGTGACGGGCGCAGTGGCAGTACCCTTCGATATTTGCGATTTAAAGCTCAGAGTACCAGGTGCATGACTTGTTCATCCTGTGTGAAGGATCCCTTCGATATGAAACTATGTTTACGGATCTAACCGCGTATATTAGTGTTCTCAAACAAACCAACAAATCAGGGTCTTTAGGTCCTACTGTCACCAAAAGCTTCTACTGCAATTTCGCGGCTTTTCATGCTACATTAGGTATGAATTGTCAACTGTCCTATTAAGATAAGAATATGATGAATGAAAACATATCCCAACAACTGATAACAGCCTTAACAACAAAGTTCATACAACTTCACGTTTGTTCAATACATGTACAATGTTTTGTTTTTGCAGCCATTGGTAGGTGAAAGAAAGTATCAAATGTATGTAACATTTTTTTAATTATTATTATTTTGTTTGCGTTCAGTTGCCAAGTCATATCAATGAGCCATTTTTGGTGGAGGGGCCAGTGCCGCACCTCTCAACTGTAGAACATGGCCTCGCGCAAGCTGCTTGACTTATAGTTGATGATTGTTTTGTTACAGGCATACAATTCTGCCATAGATGACCATATAAATAAGAGCCTGTTCAAAGATAAGAAGCTGAACCATCTGTGGTCCAAAGCAGAGGCGTCAGGGTTCACCAGTGAGGAGCTGGCAGCCCTTAAGGAGGAGTTTACGCATCATCAGGAGAAGATCGATCAATATTACGATCTGCTAAGTGACGTTGAAGGTGGAAAGAAGGATGAATACAAAAGTGCGTTTTTTTCATGATCTACGTGTTTTAGATATCTATATTTGTCGATTTAAAGTAACCTTTGTTTTAGTTAGTGGAGATAATCTATCCACCAATGATTGAAATCCATTTATTTTTTTATAGCCCTCTGGCATCGCAATTGTGTAACAAACATCCACGCTAAATTTCCATTTGTAACATTAAATAATATAATATGCCAATCCAGAATAAAAACAAATCTGTTTACATATGACATGATTCACATATCAGATAACAAACTTTCATCCAAATTTTACACCATTGTAATGCAAGCGAAAGTTACATCAGTCACAATTATATAAATCTATTCCTGTTTACATCAAGCACGAAATTGATTTACACTGTGTTCCACTTAAATATTAGGTCATTCACTTTAAAATAGGCTAGGCAACTGGGACAGAGGAATTAAGGTCACGCTCTTACGATTACAATCTCACAAACGAATGAAGCTAGTTTGTGGGGCATAGAGTTCAGTTTCATTTGAAGTTCCTGGCAACTGTTAGATTTTATGGTTTTCGCAGGCTAGTTAGGTTACATGTACAGCTTTGTGCATGGATGTTCACAGTTAGTTGATGACTATGGTTTTAACAAGTTTCATTTCTGCTTCTTACATTTTTAGGGATTTTCCTCAATTGAAACATAATCGCCGTGTTATTTTTTTAGATCGACTACATATTGGTTTTTAGGCTAAAAATTTTTGTATGTGTAATGATCTAGTTAAAATTATCAATTACTTAGTGTCCGTGAAAAATCAATATTTTAGAAGTTATTTCCATCGAGTTCTTAGGTTTTCGCGATTGTTACACAGGAAATAAAACTATTTTTCCGGATTTAAAACACGTATATTTGGTTTTTCAAACAAACCAACGTTTCGGGCCCTTTACAGGTCCCATGGTCACGGTTGACCGAGGTGGTACAGTCATCAACCAGTTATGTTTAATATTAATGCAAACAACCCTATTTTTTCATTGTAGTTACAAAAGTTATTAATTAAATACCTTATTATCAATTTTACAAAGAAACATTCATTTTACCCTCAGTCAACCGTAACAATTTAAATCGCGTTTTAAATCCGGAAATATATTTTCATTTCCTAAGTTATTTGTAGTTACTTTATTGAAATTTTCTACTATAGCCACCAAAACAAGTACAGTTTGACAAAACTTGTAAAACAACACTAATTAATTACTCCATTTCCACTAAATGTAATTTTAAAATGCAAATGAAATTTTCTATGATTATTATTTATTTCATGACCTTAGATCCTTAGACCCTTCAATCGATATTATTAGAGACAATAAACACGGAAAGTAATATCAAAAAAGTAATAGTGATAGGATAGGAGGAAAAAAATAATAGGACAATTTTACCAAATTTTTTGTATTATTTTTGATGCATTTCATATATAGTATACAGTAAATTTTGGACACGGCTGGGAAAACTTGATGAAATTCTGTATGAAAATAGGATGACCATGTAGTGAGCATACAATAAACCATTTTTATGTTTATTCTTAGATTGGCTTTTTGGTGAAAGTTTATTTGTTCACGAAAAATAAAGTCAATACTCTAAAAACCCTTGACGAAAAAATGGACCACTGGAATTTGCTGATGGCCTTAAAAACTATCTTAAGATGTGGGGGTTGTCTACAAGTAAAAAGTATTATGTTTATAAAATAATAATAATCTTTATTGCCTCTTTAGAAAGGTTTTCCACTAAAGTAATAGTCTTACAAAGCGAAATTGTAACTGAAAGACCTTTGTAAGAGACTGAAGCCGGTAATCTATCACAAATTCGAATTTATTTTGTTCGAAATAACGTTTGTTCGAACTTTCATTACCTCGAAAACCGAATTATAACGAAACCATTGTTCTTTCAGGATATGTTGGATGTTTATCGCAAAGACACGATTAGGTTCGGTTAGGTTAAATTACGTTTAAAAGAAAAAACATTTTCCTCTCATAATTACTTTCGAGGTTATGAAAATTCGAGCAAACTGTTATTTCGAACAAAATAAATTCGAATACTGATACTGATAGGTAACCACTGGAGTCCATACTAGGTATAAACCAGTGTCACAGATCTTCAGACTCTCACTTGCGCACACGACAATTGTAGAGAGCAAGAATATATATATGTACTTTAAATTTAAATTAACACATAATTTCATGACATTACATGTATTTAACACAAGATGTTTTAATGTAAAATATGGTATAAGCTAAGAGTGATGTAGTATATATATGGGCGTTTAGAAATAGTTTTGACAGTATATCTTAACAAGTCACGTAGAGATGTTTGGTACACCATATAAAGCACATGATTTATTAAATACCATACTTCAGCTATAGGCTTGCTGACAACTGCAGAACAGAGCAGTGCATTAGGTATAAATAAGTCAATGTACAGCCCACCTATCTTGTCAACTGACTGACTCAAGGAAAATAAACAATTTTCCAGATGCCCTTAACGAGGAAGAATTGGATAAGTACAATGAGATCAGTTCACAACTGGAGACTAATGAGGTCAGCAAAGACTATTTGGACAAGGCTAACCTAGTTAGAGTAAAACACAGGGGTTTACGAGATGGCTTCGACAAACTGCATAGAGTTATTTCCAAAGGTATGCAAACATTGACTTTTTATTCTCATTAGTTTAATTCTGTTGATTGAATTGGAAATTTGTATTTTCGCTTGTTCAAGGGAGTAAAACCAATATCCTATAACGTAAATCATTTATATTCATTTATAGACATCAAACTTCTTTCGAATTACGTAGTTTTTAAATTTGTGAAAGTGTGAATTACAAGTAATTTTGAATCCTAGAGGACTATCTTTTTTTTTTACAATAATATCAAGTGCCGGGACGAGCAACTCGTGCGCCTGATGGTAAGCTATGCGCCTGTCCATAATAGTTGCAGTGCCATTCAGAGCCTTAAATCGCAAACATCTGAGGGGCACTGCCACTTCGCCCGCCACCCTGAGATATAAGTTGACAAGTCCCATATGCTTGTAATTTCACCAGCATGCTTACCCTTGAAAACCGGAACACAGTAATGCTGACATTACTGCTTTGCGGCAGAAATAGGTAAGGCAGTACTTCGTTGGAAAATTTTATTATTGTTATATTTTATTATATAGTATATATTAGTGCTCATTTTATTAAATACTCTACTGATGCGTTAGTAGAACAAAATCGTTCTTTAAAAGTTCTTCCCATTTGTCAAAAACGTACATTAAAACTGATGACAATTAATTTGTTTTTACAGGACCCAACAATAAGGAGTTTATAGAACCTAAAGTGCAGGGTTTATGGCGCCTTGCTACAGCTGGAAATTTCACTGTAGATGAATTGGCTTCTTTAAAGGTATCTGATTCTTTATGAATTATTTACAGCAGACTTTTATACGGTTTACGAAATATTAACGTATTTTTATGGTCAAAAAAAAAGAATAAAAAAAGCAAAAGAAAAACTGAACAGGTCCAAAAATTAAGTTGACGTACTGTTCATAGGAGGTATCGCTATGTTGCTACTACTGACCCTCGAGATAGGAGATGCTGTCAAGTTGCCGTTCTGGGTGGAGGCACTTTGTGAAAATTCAGGTGACAAAATTTGAGGAGCAGAGACTGTCAGGCCTGGACGCGAAACGTGATGTTCGCCATAACGCCATAACATTGCGAGGATCCAAATCACCTTGTCCAAGTTTTAGCAGGAATACGTACTTACCGAGTTCCAATTTTAATCGTGGTCCATCTATCTCAATTGGCTGTCCAGATTGTGTGGATTTTTTATTCGTCCAAATTCTTTAAAATATTATGTAAACATTACTACAATGTGTACATCTTAAATTTATTGTGATTCTTTCGATCAGTTACAGTTATGATTGTGAAAAAGATATGTGAAACTTGTAATTTCTGATGTCCTACAATTGGGCGGTGTGCCAGCTATTATAGATTATTACATTTCAAACTGAAATTGAAAAAGAATAATAATAATATTAATTTATTTCGGAGCCTAGGGATCCATATAATTAAGATAACCAGTTGGAATAGCTGATTATATTCCCTAACAGGCACAGGGGGTCTACTCACACTCTCCGTCCGACATCCGTCGAAACAATTGCTGCCAAATAAGCAATACTTGACCAAATGTAAAGACGCGTGATGCGAATAAAGCTTCATACTTAATACTTGTCTTTTAATTTTGTCGAATATTACTTATTTGACAGTAATTGTTTCGGACGGATGTCGGACGTAGATTGAGAGTAGACCCCCAGGACAGCGCAACATCTCTGACGTCTCTCGAGAATAAAATGACATATCTGTAACTTTTTTATAAAAAAACCCCGAACTTAAAAGTTCTTGGAATTACATCTCGACGCATCCGAAGAACAAAGCCCAATGTGATTATATAGCGAAAAGAGAATAAGTACGTTACTAGAATAATTTTCTTATTCAAACTAAGGCCTACGTAAAGGTGTTTTGAGAATTTATATATCTTATTTCATTTCGGAAATATAAAATCGAGGAACGGCCGATCTGACATCCACAGCGAAGAAGAACGAACGAAATGTACTATGACCTGAGAACAAGTAGTCTTGCACACAGATCTTTGTTCTACGGATGAGTCGATCTATTTGCCAAGTTCTATTAAAATCGGTTACTAGAAAATGCGCGAAACCGGATTCATCCCCTAGTTTCCCTTGGAGGTGGAATATTTTCTTCAAATTTAAATGGGACTAATACTGAGGTACCCTCTTTCTAACAAAAAAAAAAGAATCATCAAAATCGGTTCACAAAGTTATCGCGTAACATACAAAAAAAGTCCAATTGAGAACCTCCACCTGTTTTGGGTAATAAGGAATAAAGAAATACCATTTGGATAACTTAAGGTCCTTGTTGTAGGTGGAGTTACAGCACTACGAATCCCGTCTGTTAAAGCTTCGTCACTTGCAAGCCGACCATGTAAGCAATCTAGAAAAGCATCGCAGCAAGGTTGTTTTCTTTTTTTTTATTATTCCTTTCTTTTCTGAAATATATTACGCTTTTTCCTGCAAGTATGCCCTCGATCCTAGTGTTTTAGCGTTTTGACGCTTTATGCCAGAAACGCAAAATGCCAAACGAGCAGAATGCCAGGTTCTCCAAATGTCACTGCCAGAAATAATGACGATTCATTATTTCAGCCGAATGACGTCCGCTACTGGACATTAGTTCGTGCGTCAGGAGCAGGAAAGCCTGTTCTTGGCAGTGACATATGGCATTTTGAAAATAACGTACGCCAACTAATCATTTAGTTTTTGTTCCTTCTCAATAAGACTGGTTTTTAATTGAAGGTTTAAAGATTTAATTAACAAAGAAACTTGTTTTTTGCTTTCTTTTTTGTTAGTAATCAGCATTGCTTTTTATTCTTTTATGTGCATCACCACATCTCAATTTTGTTGTATTTTAGTAATTTGTGGTTAACGTCGTTGGTGACACATTGTACGTACAAAGAAATTAATGATATTCATTGTGTCTTCTGTTTGTTAACCCAAATAAAGTAAATAAAAAGGGTTAAACTAATAATAACAATAACGCACATACTTAAGTGTGTGCGTTATTATTATTATTAGCCCCGCACTAGGGAAACCCTGTGTCACGGATGCCATGGTGTATCCATACATAGACAACCACAAATTACACCCAAACTCACGAGAGAAATAAATGTAGGTCATACAAATATTTCTCCCGGCCCGGGAATCGAACCTGGAACCTCTGCGTGGCAGTCCGGCATGGTAACCGTTCGGCCAGAGGCAGTTAATACTAATATTTGCACTTAGATTACGTGCAAGTATTCCCTTAATACTGAATATTACGTTTTGTACCAACTAAGCATTTTATTTGGTGCTTAAAAGATAACAAAATAGCAAGCGTCCCGCTAGGATTACGTGCATTGGATTTCGAGAATTCAATCATTTTATTGTTGAGTCGCAGCGTTTAAACGCCTGGATAAAGAATTAACTTACATGACAATCAATTCGGTTTCCGGCCTGGATTGTCCATAGAAAGCGGTATCCTGCGTCTCAATCAGACTGTCCAATACTATACTACCCGTAAAACGCCTATATACGCGTGTGAGAGTGAGACTGGTCCACCATGCGAGTTGACTGCAATTTTAAAATTCTGGTACAGCCACCAAAACAATACAGTGAGGTGGGCGGGTGCTCAAAAGGATGTGTACAGGTTGGAGTGTGGAGTTAGGCAGGCGGGTTTGAGTTCGCCGCGGCCCTTCAACCTGTACGTGGATGGGATGATGGGTGAGCTCAGAAGTACCAAAATTGGTTGTCATATTGATAAGGTTTGATAACCAATTTTGGTACTTCTGAGCTCACCCATCAGCCCGTTATTCATCAGCAATTATTGATAGGGTTTGCGTTAATCATATATGTTACGCTGATGACATGGTGCTTTTAAGCCCATTTATCGGCGCCCTACGCAGGCTGCTAAAGTTTTGTGAGTCTTATGCGGTGGCTCAAGGGCTCAGATACAATGCGCTGAAGAGTGAGTGCATGGTATTTAAAGCAGGTACTAAAACGTATACCATAGTGCCTTCCATTGATCTAGGCGGTACTCCTCTAAAGCAGGGCGCTGGCTGTCCGTTGCAATATGTTGGCTCGCAGGTTTGCACGATGTACAGATGAAGTAAAGGTAACGCTTGTTAAAGCTTATTGTCAGTCTTTTTACACGTGCAGTCTGTGGGTAAGTTACACGCGGCGGTACAACAATGCGTTCAGGATGCTGTTCCGACTTCCACCTTTCTGTAGCGCGTCAACCATGTTTGCTGAGAAACATAGACGATTTCTACGCTATCATGCGAAAGCGTAGTGCATCGCTACTCCGTCGCATGCGTCTCAGTACGAACAGCATCCTGAGCACATTGGTGGAAAGATGGGTGTCCCCAATGCTGGGGCGGTGGATGCACTTGCACACTGCTGCCAATGCGTGGCCAGTTGTCCTGACATTGGCTCGTTTTACTTTTAGGAAATGAACTATTTTTCCGGATTTAAATCGACGTTTTACATCCAGGTTGACAGGTTGACAGTCAACCGTGACCATGGGACCTGTAAAGGGCCCGAAACGTCGGTTTGTTTGAAAAAACAAATATACGCGATTTAAATCCGGAAAAATAGTTTCATTTCCTATGTGTAACAATCGCGAAAACCTAAGAACTCGTTTTACTTTATTATTTTAAACCTAACACTAGCTTAAGTATTTTCCTTTACTAACAAATATTATGTATGAATGTAAGTCTGAAATAAATGGATTATTATTATTATTAAAACAAACAAACTATAGTAAACTGTACTTACCCTCTCGTTGATGTCCTGTCAGGTGGCTGCGGCGGGAGACAAAATGGACCACTTCGACGATCAACAACAAATGATCAAGAAGCACACGCGCAAAGTGCAGAAAATGCACGAAGACCTCGAAGGCCGCATTATGGCTAGGCATAATGAACTTTAAATTGTTATTTTTGTGCCAAACCAACGACCCTAAAAGACCTGGCTAACCCAACACGTCTAGCCTGCGTCGATGACAGTCAATCCTAAATTACAATTTTGTGTGTGATCGTGATAGCAAACACTTATCACGTTAATCTCGACGCGTTAATTTCGCCGTGTCTTCGATTGGTCAATGCAATCAAGTGTAGGTTTAAAAAGGAAGCAATTTATTACTTAATTATAACCTTTATAATTACAAACTTAATAATTAGGTAACGTTAATCATGTATGTAGAATGTAAAGTAGAATTTAAGGTGATTAAGATCTTTGGCCGGTAAGAAGCTTAGCTCATCGAGTTTAATGGCTTCGACTTCGTTAATTTGCAATAATATTGCAAAATGTGCAGACGATAAGTTTAATTTTCTAGCAGGGGTTAGTTAGTACCAGCACGAAAAATATATCTTCCTAGAGTTGTCAATTTGATTTCCAAAATAGTTATGTCTACTAGTAGCATCTCTATTTTTGCGAGATTCTATTTCCACTAATGTTAAGCATGCCAAGCATGCCCTGGCAGGTATTGTAGGAGAAAAATTCACTTATTGAGATATTAAAGATAGTACAGATTTGATTAATGTTAAGATATTGGTTCGGAGTCAATTTACTTCCCTCTCTTCTTTATCTATAAGTTCTTCTATGGTTGGCTTAATGGTCTTATCACACTTGTGCTATGTTATATAAATATTATCGTAATTAATTATGCCCAAGCGTATGTTAAAATTATTTTTTTAGAACATATTTTGGATTCTTTGTTACATAGTATTTATTTTTTTAATTATTTAGCAGCTAAACGCAATAAATTGTGATCTTCCTGCATTTAAAATACTTAAAAGTAAGTGTAATTTTAATGGATGTGTTTTTAATTGTAAATATGTAAACAAATGAATCTCGGTGAAAGTTACATCGAAGTTAATAAACTTATTTGTCAAAATCAATGGTTTATTTTTGGTAAAATGATTGGCCAGACTCGTATTTAGTGAAGATCCTAATCAAAAACACACGAAAATATTTTGACAACGGTTTATTTGCCTAGAACTTACCGCATACTCTGCCTTTAATTATATTCGAGACATATAAGTCTTCAATAATAATTTACTTATAAATATACACATTACCCAAATAAAGCTATTAAAAAAAGAATTATTGAAAAACAGGTGGTATTATTAAAAACACCAGTGGATACAGTGCATCAATATATGATATTTAATCTTCATGTACAAGCAAATTTTATTAATACACGTTAATAATCCGCTTCGGCGAGCGAGCGTTATCGAAATAATATCGTATTATGCCATAATATAGTGTAAAATATGTATATAGAGGCGGCGGCCGGCCGGCTCGGCGGGCAGCGGCCGGCGCCAAGGCAACGAAACACTCTGCGGCATTTCGGAATCACATTCCAAGCTACCTACTATTAGTTCGAGCGCGGACTCAACTACGGAGACCGACATGAACGTAACAACAATTTGTCTAAGTGACGTTGCGTCGCGAGCATCGGCAGTTACAAATAAAACTACATCCGAATCCCCTCACGAGTTTCATTATATTGAATCGTTTAATGCTCACTTCAGTCGATCGTACAGTATAAGAAGTTCTCTTCTCGATAGGACATTTTCTCTATTATGTATATAGATAATCTGTATAATATAATCTTTCTCACTAATATCTACACCGCTTCCAAGGGTTACAATTATATATAATCCTCGTGGGATAGGTCTAACGCGCGCTAAGGTGTACAGTAGGGAACACAGGTGTCGACAGTCGCTGGGACTCGCGGCGCGTGTCGCAGTAAGGCAGTCTCGTCAATGCCGGGGGACTCTTAGTGAGTCCATTTGCTCCAAGTCTGTAAACGAGAACACTCTTTACATATCGGAGATTTGATAGATAAATTTCTGGTTGCAAGTTTGAAAGATCAAAGTGCATTTGAATCCTTTTTATTAGGAGTCGGTACTACCTCAGTTCGAATTCCAATTTGTCCCGTACTAATACGGTTCATTTTGCTTAGGTTACTGGCTTTATTTCAGAATTTATTTCTTTACAAATGAAATTAAAGCTATATGAAAAATATAATATCCTTACAATACACGAGTTTATTTAGTTCAGTTGATATTAAAAAAAAACCTATTGACTACGAGGTTTTCTTGTATTCGAGGTAAATTTGAATTTTTTTACACTGTATAATAACAACGCACACGCTCAACACACCGTGTGTCGCGGATGCCATGGACACACACATAGACCACCACAAATTACACCTAAACTCACGAGAGAAAAAATGTAGGCCATACAAATATTTCTCCCGGCCCGGGAATCGAACCTGGGACCTCTGAGTGACAGTCCGGCATGGTAACCGTTCGACCACGGAAGAGTTTTTAAGCCAGCAACAAAAGTTATCTTGTAGAGTTATTTGGTTTGTTACAAGTATTACACTTACTATATAACTTTATTGCAAAAGATACAAAAATAAACCTTTGACAAGCAATTGTAGAGTTCCTAGTGAGAGAATTCATATTACTGCCACCTTACCTACTTCTGCCGCCCAATAGCAATGTGAGCATTACTGAGTTCCGGTTTTGAAGGGTAAGGGTGCTGGTGAAATTACAATCACACGGGACTTAACTTAACTTAACTTAACTTAACACGGGAACAGTTCGGCCACGGAGGCAGTTTAGTAATCAATGCATATCCTCAATTTCACTACATATTTTTACCATAGTGATTGATTGAAAATTTCACTGATCCCATTGACTTACAAATAAATGGACGACGGGTCTAATACAAAAACCACGAATAAAATGTCCCAAGTCAACCTATTCGAAATTTAAATTGTAATGTCATCGCAGCATCGCGCTGTCAGTAGAACAAATGAAGACTAAAGCGGAGTGTCGCGCTCTGTATACCATTTTAGCGCCTTACAAGTGCGGACACTTTTTAGCGCGGACCCGACGTCCATATAATTGTAAGTCAATGACTGATCCCTAAGTAACTTTAGAGACTACTTTCTAGAGCTGTAAATATAATTGAGAATTCAAACTATAATGGGAGTTAAGTTACCTGTTTGTCCGGGGTTTGGTGGTGGTTGCGGTCCCAGTGGTGCGGGGGATCGGCGGCTCCGGGACCAGGTTGCAAGTAGTGCAGGGGCAGCGCGTGCATTAGCGAAAGCGCGGCTGCTGTGGCCGCGCCACCGTTGCCGCCGCCGTACCCTGATTCCAGGGTCTGTCCCACGCCCACGTGACCGCTCATGCCGCTAACGCCCTACGTAGCATACAATGAGAGAATGTTAACAACGTAATTCTCGCAAGACAAGCACTTGAAAATCGAGGTCATAGCACTTTAAGTGAGATAATAATCTGAGTGGATGATGATTACCGTAACATCACAATATACACTTTGTTATGCTAACTATTTGCTATGCTAAATATGATGTGGCTAGGGTGTTTAAAAAAAAAATTGTAAATAAATAAATAAATTGGACGAAATTAAATTGGATTGAATGAAATTGGTTTTGTTTTGGGTTCTACGAGTAGCGTCTCTGTCCTATAGGGTCCTGGCAGAATACTAGCGTCGCGGGCAGCCGCGTCATTTATGCTGAGTAAGCGCCTTTTCATTGCCATGGCTTCCAAGAGAGCTATTAGTAAAATATATAACTGTGTTACGTCGTAACTTAATGTCTGTATCATGTGTCTGTGTGTGTATTTGTCATGGTGGCGAATAAAGATTCTATCTATCTATTTATTCAATAAATAATTATTTGTTTATTACTATTATTATAGAAAGATCGAACACATAAATTGCTGCTTAAATGAAATAGATATGCATATTAAGTTCCATGGTAGTTTTAGTAAGGCAACATCGACAGTTAGTGATCGAATGAATGGATGCCAACACTGCCATTCCACTGACACTCTCTGAAACTCAACTGCTATTGCAACTGGAATTTAGCAGAATAATAAATATTTCAATAATTGCAATATAATCTCAGTAGAGTTTCAATGGAATTACAATTACTCAGTGGTTTCAATAAAACTAGCAAAGTCGGGGCCCTTTGGGCTACAAAACGAGTCAACAAATCTTACAAATTTCTTTCCACTTCACTAGCTCGGAAAGGCTTGCTTTCTCATTAAAATTCTGCGCTCCAAAACGTTTTTTACAAGTTTTTGAAATTCGAACTTGACGATGGATTGTGGTGCACCCTTAGAATAATAACGCATAGAAACGCAGTCCGCACACGCTAAGTGAGGCAAAGTGAAGCGCGCCAAAAGGGCCTACACGAGCGAGCGGGCCTTCAGTGCTCAAGGTCAACTTGCACCGCGAACAGATCAAGAATTTTAGCTAAAAATGACAAAATGTGCGGTAAATGAGTGCAAAAATACATCAGACAAACATAAAATAGATACTAACATCACATTCCACAAGGAAGTAACGCGTTTCAACTTGTATTTTTATATAAATATTCACTAAAACCGAAAATTAACCTACTACTAAAACTAGCCTACATGAATTTGATATTTATACAATCCGTTGGTACATTTTATTCTTATTATTGTTGAATTTAAATTGGCAACGATAACTAATGACTAAATGAATAAAACCGATTTGTTATAGTTCAACTGTTTTTCTTTCATCTACCATGTTCCTCCATCTTTCATCCATCATATAGTGATGTGAAAAGTTGTGTGTTTCGCTCGGCAGTAAAGTTGTTTTGCGTCTCGTGGTTTGAACTCGCTATGCTCAGGATTCAGTGTAAGCACTCGCGTCAAACAACAACTTTGCAGCCTTGTACATATTTTTGTTACAGACCTTGTTTATTGGGTATAAATTTTGTGTTGATTTTCTATTTGTATTAGTGTCGACAACGTATTCAGAGACTAGAAGAAGCATCGCTCGTACCTGGTAGCGGTCGTGGTCGGGCAGGTGCGCGTGCGGGTGCGCGTGCTGCGGCTGGTGCCCGTGCACGTGCGACCAGTCGTCGGTGCCCGTCAGCTTCCAGGCGCGCTCCGTGCCGATGGGCCGCGGCTTGCGTTCCTCCTCCTCGGAGCCCCAGCCGTGGCCCCCGTGGCCCACCCCGCGCTCCAGCAGGGACTGCCACAAAAAACGTCGCTACCAAACCAGATCTACTGCTGCGAAATACATATTTAGTACCAGTAGATCTCGTGAAAGATTTCGTCCAGTGAAGTACTGCCACCTTACCTATTTCTGCCGTCAAGCAGTAATGTAAGCATTACTGTTTCGGTTTTGAAGAGTAAGGGTACTTATGTTGTCAACTTATGTCTCACGGTGACCAGGCGCGGTTAAGAGACAAAATATTTTTTTGAGATATCATAAAAAATCATAACCCAATTTTAGAATATTGAAATTATTTATGATATCTCAGCTATGCATCGTTAGGGTAGGTTACGGTAAGTCGAACACGTTAACTAATTTTAACTGTTTTCAAAAGACAATTTTGTGCTTTATTCTTTTCTAATTAAAACGGATATTTGACCATTTGTCACTTAGCCGGGTTTTGCTTAGTGGACGGCAGAGTGACAGTGTCCCTTAGATCTTTGCGACACCTCTGAGTGGCACTGCAACTGCTATGGATAGGCGTGTCGCTTAACAGGCACACGTCCAGTCACTCGAAGCAATAAAAAAAAACACGAAAGTTTTGCCACCGTTGGGGTTTCTACCTCTTTATCAGCAGAATTGGATAAAAAAAGTATATCTTTTTAATATAAAAAGGACAGTTTGCTGAGTTCGACACTCCTTTTAAAAAAATAATTTACTTGTGCTACGAGGGTCTTCCACATTACGAAAAGGTATGAGCAGGTGGTTTAAGTTTCAAATAGTACATGATTCAAAAGAAATAAATTTAAAAGCAGTACAATTTATTTTGCTTAAAATTAAAATGCAAGACGGCATGTGAGTGTGAGTGAGATAGTAGTATTCGATATCACAGATTATGCAAATACATTAAAAAAGAACTCATGACGTCATGAAACTTGTTTAACTATTGCCCAATGATGTTCTATAGATAGGTAACGGAAAACGTTTTGCAATTATAAATGGAAGGACTGGATACCTGGTAGGGATGATGCGCGGGCGGCGTGTGCGGCATGGGCTTCGGTTGGTTCGGCTGATAGGAGAGCAGCAGCGTGCTCAGGTTGCTTGAAGTCACGCCGGAGCCCACGTTGCTGCTCGTACCCGCGAACAGCTGCTGCAACAGTCATTTGTTTTTCACCACAATTTACCACTGTTTTTAGGGCAAATAAGCTAACACTAGTCGTATTTGTACGCGCTACGTATTGCATAATATACTCCCGGACACATAATTCCAGTCACCTTGCATTTTTGTCGTAAAGGGCTAGAATACAATAATAGGTTGTAATGTAACAGGTAATGTAATGTAATTGTAACAGGTCGAAGAAAAGTTTTCTCCCCGGTTTTGCAAAACCAAATTTCCAACAAGGACTTATAGAAAAGACGTTTAGTATACTAGTTTCAAAACTGAATAATAGCTTTTGATCAATCAAACATTGTTTACGCTTAGGGCACTTAATACTGAAAATGCGTGTGGTGCCTCGAATTATGTGTCCGGAAGTGTATAATAATGCATCAAGCGCATAGAAAGATTCGTAAGGTCTGTCGGCTCGTTCCGTAGCTCAGTTGGGAGAGCGTCAGAGACGGTATACTGAAGTCGCAGGCTCGAATCCTGCCGATTCGAAGGATTTTTTTCTAGTGTTCAATCTTAGTATTAATAATAACTAGTAGAGTAATTTCACCAAAAATAATTGAACATCGTGGCAGAAAAACATTGTGGTATTCAATAGACAACAAACGTAATATCACAATAATCAAAATAATTTTATTTATGTTTCTGTACGGAAAGACAGACAGACTATAGAAATGTAGAAGTAAAAGATTATTTTATGGGGAACTGTATTCGTTTTTATAATGACATTCCGGAGTTCTGGAGCATATATTTAGATTATCATATCCCAAGTTTAAAACTTACATTAAAAGTATTTTAATTGAAAAGTCATATTATAGAATTGAAGACTATGTGTTAGATAAAGATGTATAGAGAGACAAAATGTTTATTTGAAAAGTGCAATCCCTAGAGTTTCTTGCTCGTTCTTCGCAGGGAGGTCAGCGTAGTGAACGAACAGTAGCTTACAAGTGACGTTTTCAAGTGTAAAAATTTTGCCTAAGGAATAAATGATTATTTGATTTTGACTAAAACATCAAACATGCTGCCTTGAATTTTTTTTAAACGTCGCTTACAAACTTTTTCTACAACACCGAAGATATGTAAGGGAACAGTTTTAAATACCTGTGCGTTGTGCTTGTTGGGAAGCAGCGGGTGCTGCTGTCGGTGGGGCTGCGCGAAGTCAGGTGCGCGAGGGTTGAGGCGCGACACGCCCTCCACACCAACATAGCCTAGCCCCATCCCGCCTCCGCCCATGTGGCTTGCACCCACACTGGCGCTCATGCTCACCTAAGATAGACGGTTCTTTCTTAACACTTTGTACTACGGATTAAGGCAACTTCCGACTGCAGATTGTTTTGCTGGTCAGCTGTATTGATCGTAGAAAGATTGCTAGTTGTCCTGATGCGTGTATAGTCAGAGAATAAAAAGTAACGAGAAAGGCTACTCTCCGCCCCTCCCTAGTTTTAGATACTATATCGCGGCCCTCATATTGACGGTCACATTGATGGAACGGCAGCAAGGCTGTCAGCGAGCCGTTCGCTAAGGACGATTTTAATGTTTAAATTTCGAACGTTCAATATAATGTGATTTCGTAACAGATTACTGAAACATTTTTATTTTATTAATAAAAAATATTTCAGTGTAGGTAATTTATGGTAGTCTTATTCACCTATTATTTTGTCTTTTGTTTAAGTTACTTATTTGACTTTATTTTACTCAACTTGTGTAATTTACGGTTGTTTTAGTATTAAATAAATAAAATTATTAGTGTACGTAATGATTATATTATTTACATATACAATACATTCATTTGCTCTTGCGAAATCACTGTGCACCTTGAACCTGAGAATAAATAGTTCAAGGAAGTGATGGGTAACCCTACCACTTCTTGCACACATTTGTGTGTGTGCAGATAGCGCCTACGCAGTAGACGAATAAGTTTCTACCGTTATATAGAGTGTCCGGGGTGTGGTATAGTATGGATAATTGATAGTAGCGCGAGATCTATACGCGAGAATAGCAGTATGTCGCTCTTGCGCAAGTCGCGCACTGTTGTGCTAGCCCTACTGATGTTAGGAGACTGGAAAGTAGAGACTTGATCTTATGTCCCATTTAATTTTTATTCGACTTACTGGACCATTTAATATATATAAGGAATTTAGAATTTAGGCTAATATTCAAACGTCTAACGAGTTTCGTAAACCAATTAGTCGGGAAACCAATAGATTTACCAATTTATTTTCGAAAGCGAACTTGTGAAGCATGTATCGATTTTCAAACTAAACTTACCATCATATTATGTCCATTCCTGGAGTTGTCCGGGTAGATAGGTCCATTCCGAGGTAGTCCACTCATGTCAATGTTGACATTGTTGCCTGTAAAAATGTTATATTACATTGTTATACATATAAATATGGTGGTTGAGTCCGAGCAGAACCGACCTGGGCAGATTACTATAACCGTGTATATTTGTACCGCAAAGCAGCACTGTTCCAAAATCCAGTTTTTCAGTTTATACTGTACAGAAAAAATCCGTGCATAACTTGTTAAAACTTTACATGTCCACTATGATCACTGAGACATACATATATGTATGTGTCGATGTTTATGGAAGTGGTGTTTTTAAAACATATTTTTTTGCGTAAAAGTATCACTTTCGTCATATCTTTCATTATAAAAGTGAAGCAACACCAATAATTGCACTAACATCCCATTACTAGTTTACGCAGAGAACTAATATTACTACCCACTAATTTGCTAAAAGCTCATTATTTGAAAATTTAATTACAAGGACTTCATTCAATTTTACAATGAACGACACAAATATTGATCAATTTTAAAACCTTACGTTTGAATAGAATTTTTTTAAGTATTTTCTTTCCCCTGTAAATTTTAAAAAAGTGGACATAGAAGGTTTTAATAAGTAAGTAGGCAAACGTGCAGCAATGTAAGCTTTGAAAATGTTACTTACCAATAGGCATAGGCTGGTGGTAGTTGGGCGGCGGCGGCGCAGGTGGCGCGTAGGCGGGCGGCGGCGTAGAGCCGTGTGACGAAGTGCGGCTGCAGGGGGAGCAGCCGCCGCCGGCCGCGCCGCCACCGCGGTAGCCGGGGGCCTTGCTCGCGTCCGCTTGCTGCAAATATAGAAACTTGTAAATTAATGAAAAACGTAACTGTTTTTAAATTTCAAACCAATATCTTTTTTAAAATAAAACGTAGATTATTTTCTCTTGTGAGAATAATTGTTTTTATCTATACACATATCATAAATTCTCTACAATGTGTTCAAAAACCGTAAATTACGACCAGCATAAAGAAAGGTAAACTGTTATGTTAGAACAAATTTCTTATCTGTGAAAATGTTATTATTGCTTCATATTAACATCGAACTCGATGTTATTACTACATTCACATTTCGAACATCTTTGAAAAACAAAACAATTTGATTGGACCTCAATTCTAATATCAGTAGAGATGAAGTTTTATTCGAAATGAAATGTCAATAGTATAAAATTTTGACAATTTCACACATTACTTGATATCTTAGGGGATGGAAAATAGTCTAACCTTGATATTGATCGATATGATAGGTGGGGCCGATTCTAGTCTGTCTGTGAATTAAAAATGAAAACTACGTTGTGTGACATGCGACTGAAAAGTTTTTATTTGCCGCCATTTCGCCAGTCGTAACATGCGGTTCCTGAACACATCACAGAGAGCTTATAATATGTGTGTAGATAAAGCAGTGTATGTAACTGTGCATAATTAGGCATTAAAACACTCGTGAGACGTTTTTATGAACTGCCATACATACATACATACATAAACCCACACTCGTATTTTAATGCCTTTCATTATGTAACAGTCACATAAACTACTACAGTCAGGTGAAATGTAAACTGGATCTTGTTTACATACTAACTATAATTTTTTTGTTAAAAAAGTTAACTAATTTTCACAAGCAAAGACCCTATAGTTTCAAGTCTTGAAATGTATGTTGTTATGTGGCTGCTAGGCGTACCTGCAAGGGCGGCGGATCGACGGAGTGATGCGGCTCTCCCGCCGCACCCCACATGCCACCGGCCGACAGGTCTTTGAACAGCGAGTACTCTTGCGCCCCACCGCTTCCTGCGCTTGCGCCGGCGCCCGTCCCGCCGCTGCTGCTCGCGCTCGACTGCAAAATCGCAATACATTCGTGTTAGGTTCGTATAATAAAAAAAAACATGAAGAAAACGTTAGGATGCATTAACGCTTATGGAATTTGATAACTATCTTGCTGGTATGACGTTATATGTTAAAAACTATAGTTTCCAATTAAGAACCCGAGCCCTCCGAGTAAACCGGATAAAAATTTGTATACAATATGTAACCTTCTTCGGGTGCTGAGGAACCTGTACCGTTTACCACACAAAATTATCTAATGTTTTACGTGGTCGCTAGCCACAACGGTCAGTGTAAACTCATGGTAAGGGCACCGCAGTTCTCCGTGGTGTACCTGCGGCGTGGTGTTGATGTGCAGCGGCGCGGGGCTGGGTTCGTCGCTCCACGAGGCGGAGTTGTCGGGACTGAGCTGCAGGTCGTGCGCGCAGCCGCGCGGCTTGTCGCCCTCCTCGCCCTTCGGCGCAGGCGCAGGCGGCGAGTCGCGTGCTGTCGCGCTGTGCGACGCGACCTTCATCAGCGGGGACGCGCTGGGCGCGCCCGAGGCCGGGCTCGTCGTTGTCCCCTAACACAGTTTCATTCAGTATCGCGAAGCATTTCACTTATAATAATTATTAAAACAAAGAAGAAAATCCTTCGTCGTGACAGGACGTGAACCTGCGTCTGTGCCAAACCAGCCAAACCAGCTCTACAAACTCAGCTACTCATCGAGTCAACAGACCTTACGAATGTCTTATAAGTTTGGTTACAGATCTTTTTAACCGACTTCAAAAAAAGGAGGTTATTTCAATTCGACTGATTTTTTTTGTATGTATGTTACGCGATAACTTTGTGAAACGATTTTGATGATTCTTTTTTTGTTGAAAAGAGGTTAGCTCAGTATTGGTCTCATTTAAATTTGAAAAAAATATTCCACGTCTAAGGGTGGCAAACTAGGGGATGAATCCGGTTTCGCGCACTTTCCGGTAACCGATTTCAATAAAATTTGGCAAATAGATTTGTTTCCGTGAACTTTTGAGGTCGATTTTTTAGTACTCTGTACTGAGATTATGCATTGGGTTTTCAGTTTCTTTTGCCGTAAGCGACACCTGTGACAGATCTATGAAGCTTCTCACTCAGCCAGTACCTTTACAGCTACCAGAGCCTTTACGTGAGATGACGCTCTATTCATTGTAACATTTATTTAAAAATCAATATTTAACTTAGTTTTTTAGCTGTGACGTTGCAGAACGGTCGTTTCTCAAATGAGAGGTCGAAGGTTCGAATTTCTGTGTATTCGGCATTTGTGAATATTTAGTAGAAATACCTTTAACCAACGGCGAAGGAAAATATCACGTTGCATAAGAAGCGACAAAAGAATGCGAGAAGTCCCCAAGCCGCTTCGAGTCAATGGTCGAAACCCCCTCTTTTCATGTCCAGTCGTTAGACGTATAATGAGTTAAGATCGTAAAAGTACCTTCAATTCTCCGTAATTGTCGCGAATCACACAAGATGTCGTTTGGCGAGCACATAAACTATTTTACCTACCCTTATATTGTGGTAAATCTGCTTTTTTTATGTAGGCAGTAAATGCAGTTTAGTTAGATAACGAAAAGTATAAATATTTTGAAGTAGGTTTTTAGTCCATATTCTATAACTATAAAATGGCCATAGTATTCTTACAAGTTTTACTTGTTGTCAAACAAATTTATTTTGCTTTATCTAATAATAAAACAAGAACATGAAAAAATTTTATAAGGTCCGCTGGTTCGTTCCATGGCTTAGTTGGCTTAGCGTCTGGCACGGTTTGCTAGAAGACGTTTTCGAATCCCTCCGGATCGAAGGAATTTTTTGTAAGTGTTCGATCTTTGTTATTAAAATTATAACAAACAAGTGGAGCAATTTCAAAATTGAATACATCGTGACAGTCAATAAAAACTTGAAAATTACATTTTATGGGTTGGTTTTAAAAGATGGAGTACATACCTGAGATGTGGCTCTGGGCTTAGTATCGAGTGGCGGTGTGGCAGTGAGCTTGGCTGCGAACGTATGAGATCGCGCACCCACAATGGCGCCCGTATACGACAGCGCGCCCGTTGAGTTCGCACTAGATTTTACCGGAGTGGGGGCGGGAGTTGCCGGAGTCGACGATGAATTTTGTCGTTTCTCTGAATAACTTATTGACACTGAAAAAAGATTACGACAGGAAGATAAGGACACGATATTTTTTTTTATGTAATTCACACACACTTGTTGATACACTTATTGATATAATGTTACATTTATTGATATAAGATTAATTATATTCAAATGCATAGAAATGTTGAAAGCTTTAAACGAGTAGTTGACAATTTTGCAAGTGTAGATTTTCGGTTAGTAAAGTTACAAAAAATATTTCCGCGGTTTTGGTGATTAGAATACTAACCGTGTAGCGATCGCGCGGGCTGCACACGCGACGCGGCGGCGTGCTTGGCGGGCGTGCGCGTCGCGGTCGTGGTGCGAGTCGCCGCTGCGCCGCTCGACGCGCCGGACGCGGTGCTCGCTGTCGCCTTTGGGACAATCATTGGGATATTAGCGCTACCCTATCGAATTACCTTTACTTAAAATGGGCCAAAATGAAGAACTATACATTATCATCATCGGCCTCATACCCCACGACTACGCACGGGTGTCCTCTTAGGATTTTTAAAATAATACTAAATGACGGGATGTATAAGTCGTACGCTTGGTGGTAAGCGACACGCCTGTAAATAACAGTTGCAATGTCACTTAAGAGCTTTTAATCGGCAATATTTTAGGGACACCACCGCTGTGCCCGTCACCCTGAGACATAAGTTGACAAGTCCCATGTGCCTGTAATTTCACCAGTACTCTTACCCTTCTAAACGACAGAAATGAGTAAGGTGGTAGTACTTCCCTGGACGAACTCTTTCACAAAGAGCTCCGCTGCAACTAAATGTTTAGGACATAATCCGCCACCTTGGTCCATTGAGTTTTGGGAATTTCAAACGGGCTTGTGAACCTTCTATGACATACAGGTTTTATCACAATGTTTTCCTACACCCTTAGCGAGAGGTACTGGTACTAAACATTAACAGGGGTAGGTAACATAGAAACTAAAGTCACTGGTACATTTTGCCTTAGGGATTCGAACTGTGTACCTCTCAGTTGAGAAGCCATCGTTCCTCCAGTGGGTTACCCCTCCTCTCCATAAAGATTGGTAGTCGTAACAGGAGAACAAAATGGCCAAAATAAAAGGCGGCCCCTGACTATACTTCGTTTTTTTTTAGAATTAGAAAAACTGTAAACAAAGAAACAGTGATCGTGAACTTTGTTTTCAGACAACAAACAAAAAACAAAAAAACATCCTGAGAATCGCTGATAAATGATATTTACGAATGACGCAATCAACGGCGTAGCGTGGGGTGTGGCGAGGGGGCCATAGCCTCGGGCGACACAGCGAAGGTCGCGACGGCAGGCGAACATAAAAATACAATGGGAAGATATTGTAGGTAATACTGTGATCGAGCCGAGCCTGCCCGAA